TACTAGTAGTATATATTATTAGTACTAGATATTTATTATATATATATATATATATATATATATATATATATATAAAGCTCTTGTATATAGAAATTATGTGCTATGAAACATGGTTTGACTATTAACACTTTCACTGTTTTGTGTTGCAAAATCCCTTAGATGGACATATAATGACCTAAAGTACTTTAAAAAAAAATTCAATGCAATAAAGGGAAAAAATAACATGAAAATAAGATTGTTTCCATATTGACTTTTCCAAAGCTTTTAATTTTGAACAGTATCTTTATGAAACAAATACTCTTTACATGTCATTACATACACTTCCTGAGTTAATGCTGGTTCAATATATTTACGAGATCCTATTGATGCATTAATTACCTTAAATCACATTACATAATGTTTGAACCACTATAAAGTAAAAAATATGTTGCATTTTGCTTCTATATTTTTCATTATACTTATTTTTTAAGCCATAATACTTTTATTTAGAACTAAAAGAAGTTATTTGATAAATATTCTTTTTACTTTTTCAAAAGGATTTTCAAGTTAATTACAAAGATACCTGCTTACAGAAAATGGAAAAGAATATTGATAGGATTCATATCATTCACCTCCATTTTGAAAGGTTACAAATGTTTTGAATATTTGTAGTTAGTACAATTTAAAATTTTTATAAATGAAAAATAGGATATATCAAATAAGCTTACTCACAGGAATTTTCAAAGGCACCGGAACACGAACATCTGTAGTGTGATCATTATGAATCAGGATGTTCTGTTTCATTCCAAAACTCTCGCGAACACCAAGCTGGTAAAAGAGTGAGTTCTGCTGATCCTGAAAACAAAGTATCTTGAGGTTTTGGAATTCTAAATTATTCATTAAAACACAGATACAATCATCAGCTAAAATAAAAAAAAATCTAACTCACCAAAAAAGTTACGAGAAACTTTAAGACTAACAGCTTAAAAACAGTTCAATTTAAGCTCATATCCTTGAATGTTTGTATGATACATACCAGGCATATAGCCTAGAAAAGGTCCAAATTCAGTATCAGTTCATTGTTCACTAGATGAGAAGCACAATTATTCATTGGATCAAATATATGTATTTAAATTATGCAATACATACTAATTAATAACAAACAAAAAAACCAGTAAACAAATCCCAAAATACATGCAACATTTGTTTTGTGAAAACCTCTAACTTGGGAGTTGTAAGTAATAAACTGACTCCCAAGGTAAACCAGCTTTCTTTGAGTTATTACTATTCTAATAATACACATGCTGAAATTGACATTCTTATTTTGTTGTTAACAAAACCCTTGCTTTGGGAACATAATTATCAGACTTGTAACAAAACATACTTACATAAAGATATATTGCAATAGATGATTTATTATCTTGTTCAAGAGAGGATAAGTAAGATACTAAAATATCACTTTATTAAAACATACTGTATGATAACATTCCATTTTGGTAAGTCTGACATTTAATACATTAACTCTCTCAACATGGGCTTGGTCAATCTGACCGACCACATGACCTCTTTGTACTCCATTAAGGTCTTTATAGATTTAATACTTCTAACTTTCAGTATAGCGTGTATATATCTACACAACATTTGGCAGTCTTTCAGTTAATATTACAAGTCTTCACATATAAAAAAGTAAAGTATTTTTAATAAAATAAAATAAAGATTTGTCCATTAATCTATTGAGTAGTCCATGTGCAAAGTAATTTTCATGTTAAAATTAAAAATACTTTTCCTCAAATCCCTAAAACCACCAAAATGCATTTCAAACGTTTTTTTTCAGTAAAACTTTATAGTTTATCTTTTAGTTTCTCTACCCTATATCAAAAAAGGTTCAGTCAAATCGACAAACCTTGTAACCACCAAAAATAAAAAAATCCAAAGAAACCTAAATTACCCTTTTTTTCTTTCTAGAATGACTTCAAATTGTAACATGAAACTACACTCGTTTATCCTAAGTAGCTCTAAGTTCGTAACAGTATACATCTATTTATAATTAAATTTTATTGCCCTTTTTATTGCCGTTTGAACCATGTTTAACTACAATAACCGTGCCATTATAAGTTGTAAATCACTCTGGGAACATGCAGCTCACGTTACACTATCGAATTACATTACCCAAGAGCTGCTGCGTGCATGCCTCGTGAACCATTTTAATGATGTTATTATTATTATTTATTTTACCTATTCTAGTCTTAAATAACTTAAAAAGATCCGTACTTTTGATTTTAGTTATTTTTATAATAATAAATAAAGAATAAATATGAAAAACATGAAATAAAGTACTTACCCAATCTTCTTTTTTCTTGCCCTCGATTGTTGAGGAGAGTTAAGCCTGATTTTTTTAGTGATTATAGTAAAGCACTTAATTTTTATTTAATTAAATAATACACCAAAGAATACAGACTAATAACTTGCAAAAAGTAGACAAATTCGCTTCCTCCCAAAATTTTCCTGGCTTTCTAACTATGTAACAAGGGCTACTGCAAATTCATCCAAGCTAGTCATTAGCTTTCCCACGGGAACGTTGCTCAAACTCTGAATAAAATTGACTTTTTTAACGGTTCAGAACAAAGTTATGCAAAACGTCAATTTGATAGATG